TTTCATTTGGTCTTCACACAGGCGACAAAGCATCTATTCAATTCACAGTAATTGCAGAAAAAAGTCCACTGATAAATGATTACGATTGGCTGGCATAGTGGACAATTTTCTGGCATTGTTCCTAAATTGTTGGCATTAGGATCAATCTTTTATAACATTTAATATTAATATTGTTTTGGTTTTTTTGTAAGTTGAGCTTTTGGAGAGCATATATAGCCTGAGAGTGGCTCTCGGGACCAGAGGGTTCAGAGTGTGTTCATGCTCTCCATGTATGTTCTGTGCACGAGAGACTTGGCATGTGGTTCCACTCACAGTATAATGGGTCCGAATTACCGATGACATGTTCGCGGCTGAAGGTCCCAATCCCTCATGCTCAAAGTGGGTTTCTCTCACTTCTGTACGTGCTGGCACAGGAAGAACATGTTCTTGTAATTTTAATGTTGTCCATATGGGTTTTCCAAGAAAGAGAGACTGAACCAAAGTAATATTTGGGCAACTGTAATTATATCCGAGTTATATATATATATATATATATATTTTAAAAAAAATTGTCCACTCACCTTTGGCCCTCCGCGGGCGGTTATCCCTCTCTAAGCTCGGGTCCTCTACCAGAGGCCTGGGAGCTTGAGGGTTCTGCGTAGTATCTTATATATATATATATATATATATATATATATATATATATATATATATATATATATATATATATATATATATATATATATATATATATATATATATACATATATATATATATATATATATATATGTATATATTATATATATATACATATATATATATATATATATATATATATGTATATATTATATATATATAAACGGACAGGCTAAAAGAAACTTCAAGCGCAGAACCTTCAACCCTTCAACCAGATTCAGCGCATGGTAGTGGCAGCGCCTCTTCTGGTAAGTGTACCAGGTGGGGGGTTACAGCCAGGCTGCTTGGCCCGAACCCTGGGAGTGTATATTTCTAATATATTTTTATTTCTCTCCCCAGAACGTCTAAGCAAGCCATGGTCTGCATCTGAGGTGAAGGCTGTGGAGAAGACCATGACACCTTTCATACAGACTGGAAAGGTCCCTGGGAAGTCTCACTGCCTGGCCTGCATTAATGCCTCACCAGATGACCTTAGACATCGGACATGGAGTGGCATTAAATTCTATGTCAAAAATAGAATCACTGCATTTTGAAAACAAAAAAATCTAAAATACAAAGTCCTAATCCTGTAAAAGAGTTGTCTGTTTTGTATTGACTGTTTTGCATTACTTAAAGTAGTCCCAGTAAAAAAAATCAGTGCAGAGTAATGTGTGTGTGTGTGCGTGTGTGTGTGTGTGTGTGTGTGCACTTGTTTTCAACTCCTGGTGGGTTCCATAACCTGAGATTCCACTCACGTCATGGGGACTGGTTTTACGTGGTGGGGCCCGAACACCGGACCCCACTGGTCCAAGCTTAATAATCAATGGGTAATGCTTTTCTAACGGTCCTTATGCAGTCTCTGTAAAAATATGGAAAGGACCCCTGGAGGTTTACTTTCCTGAAAAAAGTGTGTTATGTGTCGGAACCCTGGTGGTGGGTTGCGGGATATCAAGGAGGGGCACACTGGGGCAATTTCAGTCCAGCAGGCTGGAGCCAATCATGGAGCAGCACAACAGAGGAAATCAGGTGTCAGGCTAGAAAAAGGTGCAAGTGTGTGGTTCATTAGGCTGCAAGAAATCATGGAGGAGCACACTGAAGCGCACGCTTACAAACCACTGGTAAGTGCTGACTACAAGTCATGACTTCAAATTGTTATATAGAATGATTACAAATTATTTGTTGTTTGTGCAGCTTAGTCAAGAGTCCCTAATTGATGAAGTCGACTCAGATTCTGACGATTTAACTGTCAAGAAGAAACCTGTAAAAAAGTATGGAAAAAGAAAAATCAAAAACACTTTTCTTCAAGACTCGGAAAGTGACGAACCAAAGGCAAATAAGATTGTTATCATGCAGCTGCAAAAGAAGAAAAATGGGGGGCGAGTTTACAGCAAGAGACACTTCTGCCTCTACTGTTCAATGTCCTGCCACAAAATGTCCCGTCATTTGACTAGAAAACATGGAAATGAAAGTGACGTAGCCAGAGCATTGGCTCTACCTGTGAAATCTAAAGCACGTAAACTTCAGTTTGATTTGATCAGGAATAGTGGAAACCGTGAGCACAATTTTGAGGTTTTAAAGGCCGGCATTGGAACTTTAGTCCCAGCTAAACAGCCAAATTCCCCAGTTAAATCCAGTGAGTTTTTGCACTGTATAGACTGTGGGGCATTGCTTAAGCGAAAGTCGCTGTGGAGGCATGTGGCCAGGTGCCGGCTTTCACAGAAAGATGCCCAGGCTAAACCAGGCTAAACCAGGTAGAAGTAGGGTCCAGTCCCTCTGCTCCCTAGCCCAGCCTGTACCGGAGGGCATCAGCAAAAAGCTGTGGTCTTTAATTTCGGCAATGCATCAGGATGAGGTCACGGGTGTTGTCAAAGCAGAAAAGGGGATTCTGAGACTCGGAGAGCACCTGTACTTAAAACACGGGCATGATAAGACTAAGCATGATTACATTAGGCAGAAAATGAGAGAAGTCGGTAGGTTAATTAACGAAGCAAAAACCGCAGGGAAACTGAAAACAATTAAGGATTTCTTTATTCCTTCCAACTTTAACCATGTGATTGATGCAGTCAGGTCTGTGGCTGGATATGATGAGGAAACAAATCAATACAAGACTCCATCCTTGGCCCTCAAACTCGGCCATAGCCTCAGAAAGCTAGCAGATATTCTTGAATGTGACTCAAAAATGGAGCATTGTGTTGATGAACTATTTATTAAAAACCTCCAACGAAGCCGGCTGCTTTTTGAGAAGAGGTGGGACGTCTGTGTTTCTTCTGCTGCCCTACAGACCCTCCGGCAAGCCAAGTGGAACACTCCGGACCTGCTCCCTCTGACTGAGGACGTTAGAGCCATGCATGCACATATTGAGGTATGTCGACCTGAATATGTGCAAACCCTAATAAGTGAGCCAACGTCTAAGCATTGGTCTAAACTGGCAGTTTTGACTCTTTGTGAGGTCATCATTTTCAATCGAAGAAGGGAAGGTGAGGTTTCAAAGATGCCACTGACAGCCTTTACCTTAAGAAGTAAGACTGGGATCCATTCTGACATTGCTCTGGGACTGTCCCAACTTGAGAAAAAGCTGTGTCAGCATTTTCAACGCATTGAAATTAAAGGGAAAAGAAGTCGGAAAGTGCCGGTTCTTTTGACTCCTGAAATGATTGCTTCGATGGAGGTGCTGGTGGAGAACAGAAGGGCCTGTTCCATCTCTGACCATAACCCATACTTCTTTTCCCGCCCGGGCGCAGACACCCACATCAGGGGATCAGACTCCCTACGCCAGGTAGCCAAAGAATGTGGTGCGGTGCATCCAGAGATGCTATCCTCAACCAAACTTAGAAAGCACATAGCTACTATGTCTACAGTTCTCAATATGAAAGAGAATGAGATGGACATACTTGCCAACTTCCTCGGCCATGACATTCGCATCCACAGGCAATATTACAGACTACCAGAGGGGACACTGGAGCTGGCCAAAATCAGCAAAGTGTTGATGGCCATGGAGCAGGGAAGAGTGACGGAATTCGAAGGAAAGAGCCTCGACCAGATACAAATTGAGCCTGAAGGTAATTCTTGATATTATTAAAATATGTATGATTTTTTTCCCCTAAAGGCCACTTGTATTTTTATTTTCTGTGCGACAGGGAGAGCAGTAGAGATCCTCTCACAAACGGACGGGCTAAAAGAAACTTCAAGCGGAGAACCTTCAACCATTCATCCAGATGCACCCCATGGTAGTGGCAGTGCCCCTTCTGGTAAGTGTACCAGGTGGGGGATTACAGCCAGGCTGCTTGGTCCTCACCCTGGGAGTGTATATTGCTAATATATTTTTATTTCTCTCCCCTAGAACGTGTAAGAAAGCCATGGTCTGCATCTGAGGTGAAGGCTGTGGAGAAGACCATGACACCTTTCATACAGACTGGAAAGGTCCCTGGGAAGTCTCACTGCCTGGCCTGCATTAATGCCTCACCAGATGACCTTAGACATCGGACATGGAGTGGCATTAAATTCTATGTCAAAAATAGAATCACTGCAATTCGAAAACAAAATCTAAAATAAAATTCCTTTAAAATAGTTGTTTGGTTTCTATTGACTGTTTTGTATTACTTAAAGTCTTGGTAAAAAAAGATTATGTCTATGGGTCCCATTCTGAACGGCCCTGTCAAAGGGACCCACCAGGTAACAAAAACGTGTATGTGTGTGTGTGTGTGTGTGTGTGTGTGTGTGTGTGTGAAACATTTTGAAACACTCTGCTGCCACTCCTCTTTTGAGTGGAAGCACTGTTGATTAACTTTTCCATCTAATGGTGAGTTTCCTGTGCAAAAGAGGGAAAAGCTCAAGTAAACAAACTCCGAGAGGCAATTGTAGGCATGACATGTATGGAAGTTACAAGAATTCAAACTATCACATCCAGCCAAGAAAACCATTTGATATCAGAAGAAGTATACATATACAAACGAGATGTTGCATTACAATTAAGGTAAAAAAAAAAAAGAGATTTTCAAGATATACTTTATTTTCATGTTGTATATGAATTTATGTAATAAAAAAAGCAAATCTAAAAGACTTAATAGATACAGCAAAAACTTGAGTGTTAAAAACACAGGGTGAAATATTTCAGAGTTGTTTTTAACATTATACGTGTCACTTTAACACTGTGATAGTTGATCATGGTCAGAGTTCGGGTTATTTGTCAGTGTTGCTAGAATCATGATTTTTAAAACATTATTCAGTGTTAATTTAACATCTTCCAGACACTAGTGAACATGTTCAGGAGTGAACACAGGTTTGAACCAGATCCATCCAGTTTGAATCTTCTCAGCATTTTTCTGCCTGACGTGGTCTTGATCACATGCGGCTGGATTTTTTGGTAAGTAACATTTATTTAACATTTGAAAACATGGTTTAATGTAAATAAAATGTTGTTTACTGACACTCAACACGACTTAAAGTATATTATATTGTTAACAACGGCTCAAACTCTTGACCAAGGTGCTTTCAACATCGTACTTTTATGAAATGTAGACAACAGTTTTAGGATTAACTCGATATTGCATATTAGAGTGTTCAAGTTATGTTATTTTAACGACAAGTACTAATGCTGGACTGGATGGAACTATGAGATTAATTATACTACAACATAACTTATGTTGCTGGTGTGTCAGCTCATGACCGTGTAGCGCTGCTAGCGTTAGCTCAGTGTTAGCATGTGTTGTAGCCGCCATTGTGCACATGGTCAAGACTTTGCTGATAAAGTGTGCTTGTGTCTTTAGGTGAAATTAACATGGCGCTGCTAATCACAGTGAAGTACCATGCAAACTTGCAAGGTATTTTGTTCTCTGTATTTGATCTATGTCTAAATTAATCTAAACCAATCTAATTTTGCGCACTCGTAAAAAAATATTACTAGGTTTGAGCACCACATTTTTAAAATTTTCCATTATTACTCATGGTTCTTTTTATTTTCAGCTACATTCTAAAGACCAAAAGTACGCCCCTTGGTATTGTGATGGCATTTCCCTCCCTCAAAGATCTGCATGCAAGGATTGCCAGGTAATATCAACATTTTGGCCGTTACCAAAATGCTATATATTTTCTGTTCAAATTAATATTTTTAAAGTATTATTCTGTCTTTTCAGGAGCATTTTTACGATCCTGCAGGCGGGACAGTGAATCTATCTAAAATGGCAACGATGCATCCCAACCAACGTTAGTCAAGGAGGCCCATCAGTACAGAGACAATTTACAGCAACTACAAACAACTGGACAGTGATGGCTGCCAAAAACTTATCGATGACCATGGAAAAAGTACAGATGCCTTTACCATCTTTCCCTTGACACCAAAGGATTGGTAAGATATTTGTTATGTTTTGAATGATTCCTTATGTTAATTGATTTTCACTCATTTTCAATCTGATGTTATATGTCTGGTGAATCATCTTTATACTTCTGTTTGATGAAGACACGGCCACTCAGCTCCTCATGAATTGGGATCTCTATTTCGAGGAGGGAACGACTTGCATGGACCCCAGAGTTCAATCACAGCTTGAGTCAGCTCAAACTCCACTGAAACAGGTACCATTTGTCCCATTTTAAGATTTTCTTTTACCGTAAGTAAAAAAAAAAAAAGATTAAAAACTTGTTATACTTATTGTTTTTTAGCTAATGACTCTGAAATGGCATGCCTGTTGCTTCTTTCTGGAGGTAATAGACATTTTAGACAAAGTATGGAGAATGCTACACACATCAAAAAACAAATGAGACAATATTTATACTCTCAGATACACCCCACATCTCTTCTCTCCTATGAGCAACAACCCATTCTTACTTACACACTTTCAGTCGACAAGGATGTTAGATTTTTCTTCTTCCATCTCTTGCTAAAGTTCCGTAATCAAAGTTTACATTAAGTTGTATTAGAATCCAAACGCAGACAGCAGCACACAGTTGTCTCAGTCAACTGTGTGCTGTTTGATATTCAAAATGTCTGCAATACTTCAAATTGAAGTTTGTACATATTTTTTGCCCTGTTTTAATTAATTAAAATGATTTTTTGGAAAATTCATATTGTCCTAATTTAACATTTTATAGTGTATAGTAGCTACTCAAAAACTGTGACATTAACATTAGAAATAGTACAAATAAAGCACTTCTGGTGTTGTGGGATGACCTGACATAGTGTTAAGTAACTCTCGAGGTGTTAATATAACCCTTGATTTCAGTGTTAAAAAATAACTCTTTTCCAGTGTTACTGAATTAACTAAACAAGGAATGTTAAATTAACTCTGAAATAAGGTGGACTCAAATAAACTCTGGAAAAATGTTAAAATTGACTCTGTGAGAGTCAATATATCACTGCTTTTTGCTGTGTACCATAAAATCTTCAGAAAGTGTTGGCATTGAACCTTATAAGCGTTGCACAATGAAAATATCAAATGAAAGTCAACAATTACTTTTGTGCCAGCTACAGACCAAGTGGAATTGCATTTGATTTTGTGTGATGTACAATATTTAAAAATATCACAATTGCATATGCGAAATGACTGGTGATGTACATACGGGACCTATAAAGATACAACTTGATAAATTATTCATGCCTGACCTCAGATGCGGGATCACTTTCTTCTGTGGTTGTAAGTAGAAGGAGGAAGTTTGCAGCCATGGGAGTACTGGCACGATGGATTCTTCTGTGTTAAAACAAACGTTTACAGAGTCCAGATGCTGTCCTCAACACACAGCTGAGAATGACCAGAGGTTTTTTGTATCTTGAATGAATTATCTCATCTTTGCGGCTTCGATGGGAATGAGGAGTAATTCCCATGGCAAACACTGGGAGAAGTATAAATGTAAAGTATTAGTGTTTGAAGCTGTGTGACTCCCATATTGTTTTACAGGCGAACAAAAAAATGCCATAGATTTCAATTTAATATCTATAGTATTTGCAGACAGAGCCGAATGGGTACAAGTTAACACTTTGGGGGCAAAGACTAGTGCATGAAAGTTTGTTAAAACGCATTAGGGAATATTGCATTAGGTATGACTGTGAATGAGTGAGTGAATGGATGGTGCTGGTTGGGACTTTCATTGTCCAGTGTGTTCGGCGACTGTGTGGAGTGATTGATAATAATAATAATGCATCAGTTTTATATAGAGCTTTTCTGGACACTCAAAGAAGCTTCACATGTCATTATTCTTTCACTCCATACACGGTAGTGATAAACTACTACATAGCCACAGCTGCCCTGGGGCACACTGACAGAAGCGAGGTAACCAGTATGAGCCATCGGCCCCTCCGACCACCACCAACCCTTCACACACACACCAGACTCATTCTAGGCAATGGGGGTGAAGTGCTTTGCTTAAGGACACAGCAGTTTGGCACTTTACAGCCGCAGCCGCCCCACTGTGGCAACTGGTGTTCCCAGTTGTGGCAAGTGTCTTGCCAAGGACACAACAACAGCAGACATCAGTGGGAGTCGGTGGAGAGTCTTGTGGTGGGCTCGAACCCACGACCTTCAGGCTCAAATGCCAATGCTCCACCAACTGAGCCACTGTCACTTCCAATTGGAACTTGAACATTGTAAATTGCTTTGGGTGACCTTGGTCTGTAAAATGCGCTATATACATAAACAGTACTTACTTATTTACTTACTTTGTTTCATAGTCCAGTATCTAGCTTTTAACATCTGTCTGATATTTCTTTCATAAAATATGAATGAGAAAATTCAAGGTCAATACCTCTTTCCAACAACTTTAGCAACAACCTAGCAGCAATGTGATCGGCTGCTCATCCAGTGTCTAAACACAAACGACAATGATTCTGATTAATTTGTTGCTTCACAAATAGTGCATCTTGCTTCACAAGTTTATTCAAACCTACGTGTTTATTTAAAGTAAGTAAACAAATTGGGTTATTTGTAAAAAAAAAAAACCTGTTTGATGTAAAAACAGGAATATTTAAGAAGCAGGGGTTTGGACATTTATATGCTGTATTTACAGAGGTAATGTACTCTGGTTACAGACAGAATGTCCACAAGGCGCAAAATTGTTTTGAGACTTTCCCTCTAACATCACAAAAAAGAACACAAAAGCCTTTAGGTGAATAGTTGACAGACAAAAAAAAGTAGGTCAGGATCAAACAGAAAGCTCATTGGTCAATTTAAACTATGACAAAATGCATGGATATATTACAAAAATTGAGATGCATAAAAAAACAATTTAGCATGTTTAGTAGTTTGACATTAATATAGTTTATTCTTCATGCCACATCTGTAACTGTTTCTTTTCTGGTTCATTCTTTGGAGTTAGTGATTTCAGTATGAACATGGATGCAGGTGTTGTCATCTGGCCCTTGACCTGCCCTAAAAGGACAAAGTCTTAAAGACTGGCAAGGCCATGGACCCTGATCAAAAGTATCAGATGGGACTCTCATTTAGAGACAGTCTGCTGGTCAACGCCACTTGCTTCACACAGACAAGATCAGACAAGTGAGTGCAGTACAGATATTAGAAAGTCCAAGCCAGAAACATGCCAAATAATATAATCAAGCTTAAATTCAATATTACAATAAACTATTACAATTAGAGCAGGGGCATTTATGCATTTATGCATGGGGTGATAATAACCCATTCTAAATGTTTCCTGTAAGACTTAAGCAGATACATGTTGAAACAAAATCAAATCAGTTACACAAAAAAGTTGTGTCAATACATTTTTTTTGCAGTAAAATAATGCTTGTGCTCAGCAACAAGGGTCAAAAAAATGCCGGTTCAAAGAAAGAGCAGAGGAGAAAACAAAAATAGTAATCTGGATATCTGGACAGAATCGCATGGAAGGCATTCCACTGATTGTTCTTCTTCAGTGCTCAGTCTTGAGTAACACTGAGATAGAGATCTATTATTTTGTTTTACAGCTTTCAGGCAGAGGGAGCACTTATTTCCTGTTCTGCCAAGTTTAAGGTGACTTGTGCCTTGTGGTCTAAAACGTTAACACAAACTGTAGAACAAATAAATATTCAACCAATAAAGATACATTTAAGTAAATGTCTTCATTTAATCAAAACACTTTTTTAAATCTTTTTTTTGTTTTTATATTTAAAATGTTTATATATATATATAATATAATTTATAAAATTGACTGAAAAAAACAACTGATATGACATACATGGTTGATTGCCTTGTCATAAAAATAGAGAAAACAAACAAAGACATGGACAAAATCTTCATTTAAGAGGGGAAGGGAAGATTCACATGATAATGAATATTAGTTAGCATTGATGGTTTGGCGTGCAACAGTTTTGAACTCCTCCTCTCCCTCCTTGGCTGAAGTTTGATTAGAGCCAACACAATCTTGGGAAACCTGCTCCGGGCGCTCAAAGGGGGAGGGAGAGAGGGGGAGAGAGAGGGAGGGAGGGGGGAGAGAGAGGGCAGTTCTCTAGTGTGCACTCTGGTGGTTCTTGCTACAGCGTCACTGTTGCTTGATCTCTGGCAGTCCAGCTGTGTTTGAGGGGCTTTTGCAAGTGAAAACCCTCGACTTATCCTTGGACAAACACAAATCGACAAAAGTTGGATTTTTTTCATACAAACTTTTTCACTTTTTATTTTTTGAAAAACAAATCGATGGGGTCCATTCAAGTTTCTGACCACAGATGGATCCAGGGCTACGGATAGCATGTATACATCTTTCAACAACATGCTGGAACCAATATTGGAATAATCTTACGGAAAACACAGGAAGCATCAGACAAATGAGGTATACATAGTTGGAAATGTGATGCAAAAGCGTAGTTTTGAACCAATTTGTGATTCAAGAATGCATATTTGGGAGGAACCAAATCCATCCTGTTTGTGACTGACTTGTGCATAGTTATGGATTCGACAACAACGCTCAGTCTAACAAATAGCACTGAGTCGTACCATCCAGCGGCGGGACCTTGGAGCTTGGTGGTGATAGTACTGATCATCCCGACCATCGTGGTGGGAAACCTACTGGTCATCATCGCAGTGGCACGTACCTCACAGCTGCAGACCACCACCAACATCTTCATCATGTCCCTGGCCTGTGCCGACCTCATCATGGGGGTTTTTGTGGTTCCCCTGGGGGCCACTATTGTTGTGACTGGGAACTGGCAGCTCAGTGACATATTTTGTGACTTTTGGACATCAGTGGATGTCCTCTGTGTTACAGCAAGTATTGAGACTCTGTGTGTGATTGCAGTGGACCGGTACATTGCCATCACTAGGCCATTGCGACACAAGGTCCTACTCAACAAGCTGCGGGCACGAGTAATAGTGTGCTTGGTGTGGTTAGTGTCAGCATTAATATCGTTTGTACCAATAATGAATGGCTATTGGCGAGCAAATGATGATGAAGAAGCAAGAAAATGCTACAGTGAGGCTGCGTGCTGTGACTTTGTGACCAACATGCCCTTTGCTATAATTTCCTCCACAGTCTCTTTTTATATTCCACTGCTCATCATGATTTTTGTCTATGCTCAAGTGTTCTTGATAGCCAAACGGCAGGTACAGCTCATAGACAAGAACAGAGTGCGTTTCCAGCATGAGCGTTCAAGACATTTACAGGTGGGAGTACAAATAACTAACACTGAGCCATCTACATGCCCAGGATATAGTGCCTGCAACACCAAAAATAGAAGAATCTCCAAACGCAGGCCATCTCGGCTCATCCTTGTGAAGGAGCACAAGGCGCTCAAGACTTTAGGGATCATCATGGGGACTTTCACACTCTGCTGGCTGCCCTTCTTTGTGGCCAACATCATCAATGTATTTTACCGGGGCATCCCAGACTGGATCTTCAGACTTCTGAACTGGTTTGGATACATAAACTCAGGTCTCAACCCCATTATTTACTGTAGGAGCCCAGAATTTCGATCGGCTTTTAAGAATTTGTTGGGCTGCCCCTGGCTGTCCACATTATGGCTCAACTCTTTGTACAAAGAACTTCAGACTCGCTGCCCCTGTTTTCTTTGGGGGGCAGACACAGGCAATTCTCGCACTTTCCAAAAACCTCAGAATAGGACGACAGAGGCCACCGAGAGCCTACCCAGCACACTGGATAGCAACCGCAGTGAGGAGGCACCTGATCCACTCAAGTCCAATGGGAATGCACAGTTTAGTGAGATGTCAGAGCCAGGATCCTCATGGTAAGAATTACTGAACCCACTCTCACTTGTAATTGAAACAAACGGAGAATTTATATTATTTTGCATACATAAAAATACAAAAACAATTGTTTCAACTGATACACACCTCTTTAATCCAAGTCCACAAATGACATGTATTTGTTAAGATAACATACCACCTCTATTAAAGCATTAATACATTTGCAGTAATGGTTCCCTTGTAAATTAAAATGCCAAATGTACTACATGTATAATAAATACAGTTTTATACACGTAAATGTTTAATCTGATGTTATGCACAGTTACTTCATAGTGGAAGTCCATATATGGCCATTTGTGATTCAAGTCTGTGTTGGACTGACTGTGAAATGAGTTGAGTGGAACAAATTATAATAATAATCATGTCTGCAGCTATGGCAGCTGTGCCAGTGCTACAGGATTACCAAACCAAAAGTGAAATTTAAGAGGTGGATTTCTGTCCCAGAGGAAATAAACATCTAGATTATGTGCTGTTTCAGTGTTACCTGCTGATGTCAAAGCAGGGCAAAAGCATGCACACACATCCGCCTCTCATTACAAGCATAGTGGTGACTATATGTAGAATAATATTTCAGACTAGGGCAGTCAACAATGCACATCATTAATCTTAATCAGTCTGCACTCTGTAAAATATCAGATGACTTCACAAAAGTTATTAAATAATGTGGTGACTGTGCGCCTGTCAGAGGCCCTGCCCATCGTCTGCACCACTGATAAATCGTTATCAACAACACACACGGACCAAAAGGGGAGGGGGGTACATTTACCACTCAAGTACCACTCAATCTGCAATTAATGATTCAAACTGAAAACCAGGGAACAAAGATAAAATACTCTTCATCAGAACCGTCAGAATCATTTATCACAGGCCACACAACAAGTTAGCGGTATCATTATTAACATTAACAGCTCATTAGTAGATTTGTTAATATTTTCTTTAATGTAGAATACATTTTGTAACACAATACTCTTAAAGAAGAAATATTGAGTATTATTTGTGGCCATTAAAGTGACATTGAGACTTGTTAGTACTTAATTCCTTGTTTTAGAATGAGAAAAAAACAAAAGTAGAAAATGTAAGGTGAAACAGTATGAAGGATAAAATAATGCTTTTGGTCTGAAACTCCTTATACCACCAGAGAGACTTTATTTGTATTTGGTTTTTTTTCCCCATACAAAACAAATTTAACAGGCATGTGATTGTGAAGTACAACATTTCACCGAAATGTTCAAAACTAATTTATAAGTAAGTAAGTAAGAAAGTAGTAGGTAAGTATATAGCGCCTTTCACAGACACAAAGCGCTTTACTTGCTTTAATTGTGGAAATTTGTCACCCACTTCACACAGAGAGAAGGGTCGCCAGTACAGGACACTACTTCTGTAAAAAGGCAGTTTTAAAAGTACTGTAATTATGTAGCATTATGTAATGTGGTTACAATTACCTCATAAATAACAGGTTTGAGGTAGGGGCTTTTAGACAGAAGGGGCGGAGTTACATGTTTGTGCTAGAAGTTCCTCATATTAGCGTGTATGGAATTAAATCTTCTCTGTTTTTGATGAGGGAACAATCTAATAGCATGATAAAAAAAGATGATTTTGTAGAATATCTCTCCTTTAATGCAGTGACAGTATCAGAGAAATTGAATACTGGACAAACTCTAAAAATCTGATTTTCAATTTCCTCTGCGTGACCTCAAACTAAGTGATTCCCTTCCACTTACTTTCTTGACATAACAATGCTCTACGGTGTGGATCCCTGCACCAGACTTAATCAATGAGAGCTATAGAATTGTGCAATATTAAAGAGATGATAAAAGTCTTCCTTAAAAGGTCAGTGGTTAGCCGGGTCGTAAATCACACCTGGAGGGGAAGGCTTGATGGGTTCACAGAAGTGCTTAGGGCCGGATTACAGATGTTAAGTGGGAGCAGCCGCAGGAAAAGTCCAGCTTAATGACCAAAAGCTCTGTCTGGGACACTAAATTAACGCAACAATCATTGTCTGTAATCAACTGTAAAGTAGAGACGCGTGATGGGATTTTCAATGTCAAACCATCAGTAATACTAACGATACTAACTTTGGAAAGCATTGGAAAGAGGCAGCCATCAACCTGGATATCAATTGAGTGTTTTCATACAATACACTTGACAGGGAACAATAAAGGCGCAGTAGAGGCACCCTTATCAACACTGCTCTAGCCTTCAGCTTGTGGCATGAATGCACTGCTTAAGGTACAAAAATAACGCATTGCAAATCATGAGTGTGATGATACATTTTTTTTAAAAGAGCAAAAGATGAAAAATGAAAATGTAAAACAAAAGTAAAATACAATATCTATAATAGAAAGGGCAGGTTATTCATGTCCGTTTTTAATCTCCACTAACAAATGACATGCTGTCCCTCGTCTGTCATTTGTATTTTATGGCACTAATCCCCTTTATATCCTTCTTATAAACTTATCACAGGACATTATTTTCATTGTGATTGAACCAGGATATTACAATGAAACGTGGAAATGAAAAAAGAAACGTGTGGTAGTTGAAACTCATTTATTAGATTCATTGCACATAGAGTCAAATCTATCTATAGTTTATAGTTTATATGAATTAATAGTTTCTCTTTCTTTCTCTCCTTTTCCATAATTTTCTAATGTATAGTTGAAACTCGGAACATTAGAATATTGTTCAAAAATGTATTTATTTCTGTAGCTCAGAAAATTGTGAAACCCTTTTATGATAGTGAGCTACTAAATGCAAAGTGGGATATGAAAAGCCTTTGTTTAGCATTCAAATTTTCCACAAATAAGAGCATGATGTATTTTACTTTGCGTGTAATGAGACCAATATATTAGTTTCACACTGTAAGGCAGGAGTGTCCAAACATTTTAGCAATAGGGCCACTTTAGATCACCAGGCTACTCCAGGGGCCAACATCACGGACTGAAAAACTTGACTGGCATTGGGCTGTTTTGAGCTTTGAAGTGATCTATAACAGAGCTGAAGTTGGCTGAATGATAAATGTTTACCATCTCACCAGCTACATTAGCACCATTAACGGAAGTTTGTGACACAATCTAAAACCACCTTTGTACAGTATATACAAAAAAAGTCAACACCTGAATTTCAGACGTATGTGGGCTTTAGATTGAGGTATAACATGTCTATATTGGTTGAGCTGAAGTTGGATGGATGACACAGTGAACTTGTGTTTATGATCCCAAAGACTTCATAGGGTTAGCAAGCCAGAGGGCCACATAAAATGACACCGAGGGCCGCAATTGGCCCACGGGCCTTGGTTTTGACATGCCTGTTGTAAGGTAATTGTACAGGAGTAAATTGACCTATTGATGATATTCTATGCTTAACTTGTAGACCAGTCAATAACCATTACTTGTTGCTGTTATGTAGAACAATATGCCAGTAAATTGTAAATATACAGTTTTACCTAATTTTCCTGACAAACACCTGCTGTATAAAGTAGTGCAAATAGGGACAAACTGATAAATCCCATTGCAGCTCAGTGTTTAATGGGCCAGAAAAAAAGGTGCTGGAGTGGATTCCTGGTGGAAAATGGATTTAATGGTATCTGAGCTAAACCTGTCTGATCTCCGCTAATGCGCAGCCGAGTCACACTCTGCAAAAGTGTTGTAATTATAACCATTTCAAGTTATTTATGATAATTTCATGTTAGTACATTGAGGTTGTTCAAGAGACAATGGTATATGGCAAGGCAAGGAAAGTTTATCTGTATAGCACATTTCATACACAAGGCAAAACAAGATAGCTTTAAAATCATAAATAATCACAGTACATTAAAAAGAAAGATACAAATTTAAAATCCCTCAGTTGTATGCACAGCTAAACAGAACTGTTTTTAACCTGTTTTTAAACATTGTCAGAAAGGAGGCCTGTCTCACATCTTCAGGAAGATTGTTCCAGATTTTAGCAGCATGAATCTGAAAAGCAGCCTCCCCATGTTTAGTCCTGACTCTGGGCACTAACAGGAGTCCAGTCCCTGTGCTCCTCAGAGTCCAGGCTGGTTCATATGGGACTAACATGTCACTAATATGTTTTGGTGCGAGGCCATGAAGAGACTTGTACACAAGCAGAGCTGTTTTAAAGTCTATTCTCTGAGCCACAGGAAGCCAGTGCAGAGACCTGAGGATTGACCCAGTATGCTAGTATTGTCCCTTGTTTTCCCAGCTTTCAACAAACATGGTAGATTGGCTCTTTGTTTTGTTTTGAGCTATTCCAACAGGAGAGTGGTGGGTGTCACGGAATTTCAATAAGGGAGGAGGATGTATTGCAATAGTTTCTTTAGAGATATTCAAAAATGAATATCAAGTCCTGTTGGTGGACTCCACTTCCTGACTTTTCTGTGTGGAGTTGGCATGTTCTCCCTGTATCTGCGTAGGTTTCCTCCGGGTGCTCCGGTTTCCCCTACCACTGAAAAACATGTACTATAGGTCTGCCATCCGCCTCCTGTATGGCGTCCCCGCTTCCATGTATGGAGTGAGAGGACAAACACCCACAACAATTGTAAAGCGCTTTGATCTGTGAAAGGTGCTATATAAATAAAGATTACTTTCTCACATTTAGTGAAACAGAAGTGCCAACATAAGATGCAATCACTATTAAAACATGGAACTTTCAAATATGCATTTATATTTAGTTTTATGTTGCATGCAAGATCATTTGTTAGCACAACTGATCTAGATTAGTACAACATCGATGTGATTATATCATGTATAAAGATATTGTTTTGTGTCAATATTGCCCCTGAAGTACTCTAATTTAAAGAGTATTACTAGATTAACGTTGGTGTTTCTTGCTTTTAGCTTGAGTACAGAAAACTAAATATTAGCCTAAGTTCTGGACGTCATTTACGGGCAGAGTGATTAAATTCCAACATACCAATAAAAGCCTTAACCAAACCAATCTCTTCATTGTATATTGTAACAGCAAGAATGCATGATGTCCAAAAATTAAATATACAGTGTTCTATGTGCTGTTCCGTTTGCACTACAGAGACCTAGTGGAAGGGTAGTCAATAGATCCATGGGGCAGTTAGCTTTGTTTAACATGACTTTGTAGTATACTACAAATTAAAACTAACATGAACTCAACACTTTGGGAAATATTCAACAATGATAAAAAAAACCATTGTGACGGTTAAATTATATTAATTTGGTCTCAGTGTCTTTGTGTTTGGCTCTCACTTCAGTAAGTGACTTCAGTCACTTCCTCCAACAAGCATCCAGTATAGTTGAGGGCACTGTAAGTATATGGGCAGTAAGTATATGATTAGGCCCACATTAAGCAAACTGATGTTATGATTGTGTTTGAGGAGGGGTCCGGCAGGCGCTAATGCTTTTTTTCCTGTGCTATCACAGGGTGAAAGAGTTTCCTTTACAAACCTTGTCTCTCTGGCGTCTATAATGCGCCTCTAGTATGCTCAGGCAGAGATCAGCCCCAGGAGAGCATGAAGCAAGCAGCTGGATAAAACTGAACATGGAGGAATCGATGTGTGGGAAACCACTGCCCTCCAGCAGGAATGCATTATGGTCTTGGAAGCCTCTGCAGTGTTTACTTAAAGCTTTAGAGTTTAGTGTAATTTACCTCAAAAACACAATTTTGTTCTCAAACCAATATTCAATATGCGTTTGAGATGTTTTGTGGGGGAAAAAAAAGAAAAAATGACTTGCATAATGCGATTACTACAATTACCAATAGCTACATTGGACTTGGTGCCATTTCCAGCGCATTCAAAAGTATAATAATTGCAGCCCTCAATACAATACAGTAATACATGCTGTATTACATACACAAGTAAAAGAAAAATATACTGGTACAAATTATACAAGACGAGACTCACACAAGCCAGAGGCCCAAATACACTCCGACCATACACCTCTGTCCTGTGTGGCTGGGATCAAAGACACAATGGCCTCATATTCCTAATTTATTTTTTGCTAAATAATCATAATCTATTGTTTGTGTCTAAGGCAAATTATGTTCTTAATGTCTACACATAAGAAAGAATGTGTCTTTTCCAGAAAAAAATGGTTTATATTTCATTATTTATTTGAAGTGGGGTATTATAGTCTCTTGTTCTGCAAAACCTTTAAATGAATGGCCTTCTACAAATAAGACGGGGCTTTAAGTTTGCCAGTGCCATTACTCCACTAGTTTACATTGGAAACTTCATCCATCTACCTGCGACAGCTAGACTCTCTGGACATTTTCAAATTACAACTCAAAACAACATTTTTAAATGAACCTGTTCATTGAAAATTGAAGTGTATTTATTTATTGTATTCCTATATAAACTCCTAATGTTGATTATGATTGTATTTTATGTGTCCAATTAGGTGTCTTGAAAGCCAGCATCAATTACAATATCACTTTAGAGTTATAATAAATATGAATATACTAAAACTAACTTGTTTATCTTTTCAGCTTTACTTTACAAGATAAAGATGGATGAGGACAAGTAAATCCTCAGATGTACTCTTCAAAGCCAAGGAGCTGCTGAAGAAAGGCCCATCTGCCGAAAACCTGGATTAACATTCACTTGTTTCAAAAATAATCCATGTAGTTTGTCCCAACAAAAAGAGTCTTGTGGATGCGTTTATGGTGTCCAAAATCAGTCCAGAACATGCCGTCTATGACTTTGGACCATTGGACTTTTTGCTTTGGACAGTGAGCTGAAATAGAGGCCTACGCTCACTCAGTCACTTTTCTGAAAAAGTGCAACTGCCACATAGAAACTGTTTTGTGGTGAAGACCTAAATGGATTTGATAGTTTATCTTTGAGAATTAGGTACCCCAGCTTACAGGAAGTTTTTATTGTGACAGTACAAAACTGCCATCACTATTTAAACTGTGTCTTGTTAACAAAGAAAATGTGTTGTATTGTCAATGAAGCCTTCTGCATAGTTTATGGAACTGGAATGGAAATGGAAAGTAAAACTTGTGTTATGCTGTGAAATGTTGTTTAATGTTCTCTTTGAAATGCAGACATACCTCTGAATGTCATGCCGCTTCAGTGGATTATGTGTACACTTCACATGTTTCATGGAGGAACGCTGATTAACATGGGACTTTGTGAGGAACAAAAGCACATCCAATATGCGTATAATCCTATCAAACAGAAAAATAGACAATGTTGCCACTTGCTGAATATTGGCTTAATATAATATGATTGGAGATCAAAATGGTCTCAAATAAAACCTTTATCTTATCTGCCTATTCTTACAGCAATGTTTCCTATGTTTCCTAAATGACTAGATTGGCAAAAAGTACGAACATTATTTCACTGAAATCACCACTTTGGAAGGAGAGTGTTGATAAGATCCAAGCTAAAACAAGCCTCTTTCGATCGCAAACTTGTATTTTACCAGAGAGAAAGATTTAGTCTGCCATGGTTTGATAAAAAGTGTGCAACACATAGACTGTAAATATTAACATGGGAAAAAGGAGGAAAAACAAGATAAACTTTAAATTTTTGGTTTTCACAAACATCATACTGAAAAGAAACTGGAGCAGAAGCTTATTGCAGCAAGGACAAAGATTGAATTTAGACTTAATTGAACAACTTTCTGGTCTTAATGGCATGACCATTTACTCCAGTGCAGTTCAGACAAACAGCCACTTCACCTTCAGACATTTTGATCCAATTAAAGCACAAACTTAATAAGGAGACATAACTTAAATGTGCTTGGTGCACACATGGGCGCACAACTTTTTGAAATGCATTTTCAGGGGGAAACACAATAAAACGTTTACCTTTGGTCCTTATTTTATTTTAATCCATAATGTTCTCTCTTTTTATGCCCTTGTTTAGGATTCTTCTATAGTAGAAACTCAAGGCCACTTCATGTCTATCTGGATTCTCTTTTGTTGCCTACAATGTCCTTTTGCACAACTGAGCAAATAGAGATCACTAGATACCATAGCAACAACCAAAGTCAGAAGGAAGATACGTCTATCCAGCAATACCATTTACTTTAATTAAACTCTTTATTTGTTTTGTTCTATAACAGAATTCTCATTTGTCTCGGTCTGACCAAGTTAATAGCCATAATTACTTGAATAAAGAGGTGTGTATTGGTTTAGTTTTGGGCCATAATTAACTGAACCAATACACACCTCTTTGTTCAAATAAACGCCCTCAGTGCCTACATTTTGAGAAGGGTACAAATAAAAATAGTAATAAACGTTTACTGGAAACATTATAATGGCCTTGTACTTCTTTAATTGTATGTTTTAGCCATCTACTGCCATCTAGTGCAGTCATTAGTAACCAGCACTTTATTTGGCTCGAGCTGATGTAAATAGAATACCAGCATTAGGGAGTTGCTGTCATTTATTCAATGAGCCGGGTAAACACTTTTCATATTTAAAAATGTCACTGTGCTCTTGCAGCCCGTGTTTTATCCATCTTGTTGTTTTGGGAGGGGACAACACTAAAGCGTATACGTTTCACATTCATAAATAGTTATTTTAAAACAATCATCAAAACTATAATGACAACAACACGAAATATAAATATCCGTTTGATGTTTCTTATGTTTATTTAAGCGAGGAGCAAACTCGCCAAGACCGCCGCCGCCACCACGGTTGCTAGGTAACCGTGTTCTTGCCTCGTGTGGTTGCTCTGACAACATGGCCAAACAAAAGGCTGCGTGAACCTGCCACAAAACTGTTGATTTGATCGTCCATGTTGGAGATGAGTCGCCCAAGCAGTGACCCCGACAACAACGGGGAGAGCAAACCCGAAGACCACCGCCGAGGATCACCATGTCGGCCCGAAACTAGGGTCTTGTCCGCGTTCAAAAGAGACACAGAAGCTAGTAAAGTTTACCTGGCTGGACAAGGTGAGCATGAGAACAGTCTATGATGAGAACGTTCTGTAGAAGGATGGCGTCAGATAGAAGATGAAATGGCGCTCACTCCTTTAGTATTAACCATAGACTGTATGTATTAACATATTAACCAATAAGAACGGTTAAACAATGTCTGCCTCTGTAATCTTTGATTTCAGCCCAGTTTGAACAACAAACTTTTTTAATTGTTTCAGCGAATAAAGGGGGTTTATTGAAATCCAAATGCTCCTATTGGAAGCAAAAGAGCTATAAATATTTATAAAATACAAAACAAATCAACATTCAATTTCAAGACACGCTGTAAAAACGACAACTCAAAATTGTTCACCTTACTAAGATTTTTGCATTTACTGACAATGAAATTGCAAGTTTCAACTTGAACTGTCTGTTGTGAGTCACTTGAATTCACTTTCAGAAGTTTCTGATGAAAAGTTCATCTTATTTGATAAGTGAAGTTCATTTGAGTTTTAACTTCTTCAAAGTAAAATCAACTTAATCAACTTCTGAAAGTGAGTTCAAGTGGCTCACAACAGACAGTTCAAGTTCCAACTGGCAATCTTATTGTCAGTGAATGGAAAAATCTTAGTAAGGTGAACAATATTGAGTTGTCGTTTTTACAGTGCACCAAGTTAGAGTGAGGTCAAGTCATCTGCGCATGCTCATTTCAAATTTGTCATGGCAACCGGCTGCATTCAACATTTTGAATAAACTAATTTGACCAAAAATTATTGTATTTATTTTAAGCAACCGTAATCGACAGGGCCAAGCCAAAGTAGCCCTATATATTCCCTGGGTCATCTTACTGGGATGTTCTTATTTTAATGAAAGGTCACTGTGCTTGCACGCAGTACTTGACTGAAACTATGCTCTGATTGAGTTGCAAGCATTATTGCTTCTCTATCTGCGAGTTATAGAGTTCAGGACCTTAAGACTAACTCATGGCATTTATAAAACTAAGACAGATTAGTACAAACAATGTGTAAGTTAGTCTAGTGAAATAATGAGTGTTAATAAAGACTGTGTTTAATGAACTTATATTGTTATGTTTATGGTATTTATAAAACTAATCTGAGGGAAACATCCTTAAGAAACATTACTTTTCCCCACTATTCGGATTTACATTGTGTGCGGCATGGTGGCTGAGTGGATAGCACTCTTGCTTCTTGGCAAAAAGGTCCTGGGTTCGAAACCCAGTTGGAATCAGGGCCTTTCTGAGTGGAATTTGCATGTTCTCTGTGTCTGCATAGGTTTCCTCCGAGTGCTCCGTTTTCCCCTAGACCAAGGTGTATGCAAAATGCACTATATGAATAAACATGATGATGGATGATTTAATGTGGGGGGTAATTTAAACTCAAAATAGTAAATTATTGCAGGGGACGGTCATCTGAACTTAAAAAAGTAAGTTTTTACAGACTTGAAAGTTCCATTCACTTAAATTTAAAAAAATTAGTTGGCAGAAAGGGAGGTTTCTCACCCATCATCTGTACTTCAGTTTGCAGGTTTTCCTGACGTTTTGTTCTTCTCTAAAGAACTTTTCAAGGGAAGGGAAGCTCGGCCAAGATCTATGCTAATGAGTTAGCCCCATGATCACGCGGTATCTAACCACACCCACAGGTTATAAACCTCCAACTAGCGGCCAAGCTTCCATTTCTTTGAAAAAGAAGTTCTTTAGAGAAGACCAAAACGTCGGGAAAAACCTGCTAACAGGTACAGATGATGGGTGAGAAACCTTTCTTTGTTTTGACTAATCCCTGTACGACTAAGAGCTTACACAAACTTCTTGATATTTAGTCATTTTCTGAGGGATTTAAGTTATTCCAAGCAAATTTTGATGATCTCAGACCTTTCTTTAGACGTCTACAAGCCTTTGGAGTGGTGTGAATATTGTCAGCCTGAAAATGAAGGCTACACACGTAGCTACTACGAATTGCTCTCACCCAGACCGATCGAGTCAGTTTCTTTGTTGGAAATTCATGAAAACTTGGATACGGTTGCCTATTTGTTCGCTACAATACACCAACATTTCCAGCTAGATTGAGCCATTGTTTGGAGTGATTGTACATGCTCCACTAGCAAGCGGAAGTGGTCAAACACGCATATCCATTTTCTTCCGGATTGGGACGTCAACCGGGAAATAAGCCTATTGCAAATCTCTCGGAAGCACCGCTTCCCGCCCTAAGAAGATCAAACGATCAACCACTCTAATCACCTTGATGTTCTGGCGTAGGCCAGTTCCCCATAAGGGCCCTGCATCACAGCTCTTCTCCTTCCGAACTGAGTCAAGGAAGAGAGGGCTCTCAGGTAACTGGGGTTCCATAGGTTGCTTTAGCCCTTTAGGCCTCGCTATTGCAACATAGCGAAGCCCAGACGAATGTACTCCCAGCAAAAGACGGCGGATCATGAGCCACCAAAAGGCGGATACAGTGCTACCTCTCCCAGGCCGGGGTCATTTTGTAATCAAACAGGCAATGGTCGCATTGTACCAAAATGTCCCAAGACGGAGCCAACCACCAGAGCAGCGGCATGATTCGGCGGGCTCCTCGGAGGAAGCGCCTCACCAAGGGGTGGTCATGTCCAGAGTAGCTGCCAAACCCCACGTGCCATGTAGTAATGGCTGTCGCAAACACATTGTTGTGGAAATTCTGCACATACCAAGAGTAAAATAATGTAAACAACTCAGAGCTGTAATTCCAAACAAAGTGTGAGTTTATTCATTAGTAAATGTGCACAATTACAATGAATAACAGAACCGATACCAATACCACCGGGCAGCCGTCCGAAATCGACTGCCCCGATTGAGGAAATAACTGTACATTAAATAGACCAGAGTAAACAAACACATATCTACTCTAGATATTACATAAATGAAGTCAACATTGATATGTGTGGCTCAAGGCTTCTCTTTACGCGTCTGTTAAGGCCATAATTTAGTTTATATTAAAATGTCTAAATGTCTAAAATGTTTAGGTCTAAAATTAGTTCTAGAATTTAGAATCATTATTTAAAAACATCCTGAAATATATTTGTTATGATAATGTTAAATATAAAAATCGTAATATTCCTTTATTTAGAGCTAGAGGGGGCGGTACAGACGGGACAGAGTATTCATAGATGGGACAGGTGTGGGGGAATCGGCATAATGAAGGTGACCGACATGGTTTTTGACCTCAACGCAACGCACGAACGCACGCACGCTACGCGCAGACTATTTGATTTGAAATAAAACTTTGGAAATGGATCTACGGCTACGTGTTGTGTTTGATGCTGTGAGTCAGAAAGCGGACACCCAAAGGATGGCTACATGATCGCTTAGAAGCCAACACAGCGTCCTAACGCTGATACAACTCTGATATATGTAACAATCTGCTTTTGAACTGAACATATTGTTCTATGACCCAGGTCAAAGACATGATGCAGCACGTCTCCATCTACCACCGACCTGCTGCCAACAGAGCATTATGGCCTGTATCTGAATCCAGAGTTGACTATTAGTTAATAACTAACACTCATAACTATTTGGTGTTAATTCAGGTTGCTTCACTGAAATATTTCTATAACAACACCAAGAGTGGCGGCCGCCCTGCCCCGCTCCAGCAAGGACTGGAGAGAGGCTAACACCTCCTGAATGGAACACGACCCGAAAACAAATTCTCTTCCTTGTTGCACAAAAACCTGATCTACAATAAAATGACATGCCAGCACAAATCTGCGCTACATGTTCTTCAAAAGGACGTACTGTATATCCCAATTCATTGCTGGATATGGATTGAATTTTTGCAATGAATACAAAAATAAAGTGAGGTAATGCAGCTTTAAGGGATGTGGCCTGCCCTCCCTTAATAGTAGCAACCACCTAGGGAGGGAGGCCGAGGCTCAACAGTTTCCCCCTTTCAGCCTCCAAGCCATGAGCCTGCGTCCCAGGACAGGGTGCTTCGGGACGTTCTGCAACGGGCCAAGGTGGACCGAGCCCCACAACCACCAGCTCCAGATACCATCTAGCTCTCGGACTGGCAAGCGCCACCACCAGGATGGAAGTTCCTGCCTCTCCACCTCCAGGCAGCCCTGCTTTACAGGGTGAGGACAGAGAGGCAGGAAAGAGGAGGTGATTGTCGGGCCGGTGCGCCATGGTGTCCACCCCTAGAGGGGGCCCGTCGGTGGACCTGAGCGAGAACCAGAGTGGACACTGTGCGTTCTCTGCACTTGTAAACAGGTTGGCCACAGCGGTTCCAAAAAGGAGCCAGACCTCTGCCACAACCTCTGGAGCGAGGCCCCACTTGTCCCACAAGGCCCCGCCCCTGGACATCCTTTTGGCAGCCATGTTGCGCTCGCCTGGGATGTGGCGGGCCCTCAGAGAGGCTAAGTAAGTAAGTAAGTAAGTAATGTTTATTTACATACCGCCTGTAGCGCATTTAGCGGAATGAATGCTCGTACTGATGCATGTGCCATATTTTCCTTTAATTTCCTTCGCACAAGATCACCGTAAGAGCTAAAACCATGAATACATCAAATCAGTAAGGCATACAAAAATCATTTAAAAATCTCATTTAAATACACACCTTTTATCCCCCTTTCAGCTATGCGCTAAACAGACAGTTCAGACAGGACCATCCCGAGTCCACACACCATGTCAACCTTTAGTACAATACGGAAGCACCCAAGTTGCCCCGACGAATTTCAAAATAAAACCAAAAAGGGGCGTTCCCTACACTCCCCACCAATCACGAGTAATTCAATGAGGGATTATAATAATCTGGATAAGCGTATGTTGGTTTTATCAATCATTATTTTAGTTCACATTTGCTTCCACAAGCACCACCAGTTTCTGTACAGGCCGCACAATCTCTGATGTCCTTGTGTGGCGTTCTCCACCGCGAGTAGGTCTTCGATCTCCTAGCATCACCTTTACCTTTCTAACTAAGCCGTCCTTACTCGTTATAGTTTCCAAAACTCTTCCTAACTTCCATTCATTTCGTAGCACCTCATCATCCTTC